CTAGGAAGCTGACGCGATCGAACTAGCCCCTAATGAAGATAGGGTCACAATTGAGCTAGTTGGGGAAGACCAACAAAATCGCGGTCATCTTGGAGAAGCAAGGAATGCGACATACAATCACACAAACAATCGCAATACAGTCAGGATAGACATGACTGAGAAGCAACGGGATCGTGGCTTGCGACTTGTTGCGATACAGTCTTGATCGTGGCTTGTAGCTTGCTGCAATACAGTCTTGATAGAGCTATCTAGGATCACAAGGTAGCCGAATGATAGTATCGAGAGCACAGGGAAGCAAAATCGGGATTGCAAGGAAGCCAAATCACACCATTGAGATAGAAAGGGAAGCCAAATCGAGAACACGCACTAAATATCACGATACAATCACGATAAGAGCAACCTAGGAAAGTTGGTGACAGTATCACAGGAAGGGATCACAACATACAAAGAGAACAATCACTCGATTTGACTTATCTGGAAGTAATCAAAGGGATTGGGGCCATACAATGACATAATAACGTGACACGGTCGTGATTCAAACTAGCTCGGAGGCTAATGATGGGATTTTGACTTACATTATTTGTCTTTGTCTTTTGTGATCGAAAACTTTCTAAGGAATAATGACAGCTAAGAAAGTAGATTCTTTTGAGGAGAAATTAGAGTATGTGAGACAAATCAGATCTAGAATATAGGAGCATTTCTCACTGGAGTGGCAATTCATGTCCATAAAAGGGTGAATTTTGTTCATGGAGAGCACATTTACGACCCTGCAAGAAATAATGAAGAAACTTATCGAGTTTCACACAAATCTACAGCATCTTGCAGTAGGATCGAGCATCGATCCTGTGAAGAAATAATGTGACATCCAGACAGTGGAAATGAGCACCAGTAGACGGAATGGGATGACATGCAATTCGAGATTGGAGAAGATCAATTCGAAGAATTTTGGCCTCGAATGGAGAAATATGATAGGTGGGACACAGGCAGAGGGTTGAGTCCAACTATGCCTACCCCTTTTATTGTTGCAACTCTGTGAACGGAAGGAAACTCAAGAGCCTGTAGGGACATACGGGCTGATTATAAGGCAAGCCAAACATATAGAAGACGTGAAATGGAACCCAACCCTCGCTACATAGGCAAAATGATCTTTGGTATAGATAATTAGGGAGAAAACTCACACGAAAGAAAGTTGCCAATCTTCGAGGTGGACAACGGACATGAGTGGGTGTACCGGGCGGAACGATATTTCGTGGTGAATGAGCTTAAATGGGAAGGAGAAACTCATGGAGGTAGGATTATATTTGGAAAGGAAAACCCTAGCATAATTTTAGTGGTGGGAGGCTAGATACCTGATCTACTCATGGGAAGAAACTTAAGGATTGCTTGTTGGAACATTTCCGATCCACTGAGAAGGGGACTTACATGAGCAATTTTTGGATTGACTTAGGAAGGGACTATAAATGAGTATAGGTAGAGATTCGAGCTACTGTCAGGACGACTGAAAAGGAATTCTAAAGCAATATTGGAAGGGAATTTCATGAAGAATCTAAAACCCAACATACGTGTAGCACTACAATTGTTGATACTGTGGAGATCGGGGGAGTTGATGAAGCTAGCCCAAATTGTGGAAGACAACAACCAAATGGAGAAGGCCATCAAAAGCAGCACCATGGAACAATTATACGATAGTACCTCGACGACCACGACTCTGAGGACCCATATGATGCCATTCACGGGGAGGTGATGAAAAAGAAGAATATGGGAGGGGTCAACTTCAAACGCTTTAAAGGGTCAGAGATTCAAGAGAAACGAGCAAAGGAATTATGTTTTTTGTATGATTAAAGGGTTGCCCTAGGGCACCGTTGTGAGAATCAGACATTGCGGGTTCTCACAGTGTGTGCCAAGGCAACAAGCAGACAAGAGAGCTTGATACAGTAGGTTCTCGCGGTGTTTGCTAAGGAGACAAGGGACCTTGATATAGTAGAAATTTCCTTTCAATCACCTTGAGGTTAAGGTGCTTTTATGGGAGAAGAGTATTGTTACGCCAGCTTAGCTTAAGTGGCAATTTAGTCTTTTATTAAACTTAAGGAAATTAATTATTTTGATAATTATTAATGTTTAGTATAAATAGACCCTAGAAGACTTAGGGTTAGGTACGCAAGAAATTAACATTGTGAGTATTAGGCTTAGAGCTTAGGAGAAATTTCCTATCTCTCAAATTCTAGTAGTTTGAAGGGATTGCCTTGCTGTGCTTATCTTTATATTTTTGTTGAATGTTTGATGTTCTTGCAATAAAACATGTGTTTGCCCTAAATTTCTGTGGAAAATCTACTAAGAATCGTATCGGAATATGATTTAAATTATATAGAAACATTTACGCTTGTTGTCAAGTTATCCACTATCAGGCTTCTATTTTTTGTTGCACTTCATCATCAATGGTAGGTTATTCAAATGGATGTCTCCTAAGACTTTCTTCATTGTCATCTTCAAGAGAGAGTCTACATAGATCAAACACTAGTTCATTTCGATCCTCATCATCCCAATCATATTTGTTTACTTCAAAAGTTCACTTATGATCTCAAACAAGTCTCGCGTCTGATTTATACATTCACCAATCATCTACTCAGATACAATCCCTAATTCCTCTCCTCACATATCAACACAATTCCACTTTAATCTATTTTGATCAATGTAGATGATATTTCCTTAACTAGAAATAACTCTAGCATTCTTCAAGACTTGCAATAAGAGCTCTACAAAATATTCGCTATCAAAATTCAGGGCGCAGTTTCTACCTTTCTAGGAATACACATTAAGCACATTTCATATGGCTTTCTTCTCACCCAAATCTCCTACGCCAAAGAAATTCCTCATGTATGAAAAATAGTAAACCCCTATCCAATTCCCTCTCGATCTCCTCCATACACTCTTGGAGTCTAATCAACCCTTCACAAATCCCTTATAATCATAAGGCCAGATACACTAATTGTTGTAAATCCTCTCTCCCAACATCTCCATCAACCACTATGCCCAGATCATCAAAATCTCAAAAGACTCTTCTGATATATCAAAGTAACTCTAGATCATGACCTTTCACTAAAAGGAGGTCCTCTCACTTTAAACATAAATTACATGCCAATCGGGCTAGCGAATCTAGTGACAAACGATCGATCCTAGGAAGTTGCTCAATCCTCAATCCTAATGTCATTTCCTGCCATGTCAAGAAACATCCAACGGTTGTCCATTTCTCTACTGAAGCTAAATATCATGCTCTATATTCAATTGTCACTGATATTATATGGCTATGACATCTCCTACAAGACTTTCACAAAGAAACAAAGCAACCAAAAGTCATTCAATATGATAAGACATCGGCCATAGCTATTGCTCGTAATCCAATTTGCCATGCTAGACAAAGCACATAGAGATATATTACTATTTCATCAAGGAACACATTCAATCTAAGGAGCTAGCTCTTACTTGAACAAACTGCTGACATATTCACTAAATTTCTACCTACACCATGCTTCCAAATGACTAGGAACAAACTACCTTTTGTACGCGAGATAAGTATGATACACCAAACCATCAGCAACTAAAAGCACAAATCAAAATCGTTGGATCATAATAATCTCAATTCATCTCCAACACACATACGTGAACTTCCAAACTCTTTCGCTGTGTCTGCATATTCCTTCAATACTCTACTGCTATGTACAACAACAATAACAGCAAGTCTTTATCCACTAAGTGGGGTCGGCTACATGAATCCTTTTCTTCTGTGTCCTATTCAGTGTCATATTTTTATTTAATTCTAATAAATTAAGATTGTTTTTTATACAACATGCCCAAGTCATTTTAGGTCTGCCTCTATCTTTTTTAATATAATTCAAATATAAAACATCTACTTTCTAAATAGGATAATCAGATTGTCAACGTTTAATGTGATCATCTAAAGACAAGTCAGTCACTATAGCTACACCAACCCTTTCACCGATATATTCACTTTGCATTTTTCTCTAAGTGTAAAGCCACTCTACCGCTATGTAATAGATAGAATTGTTATAGTTTTATGCAGAATTCATTCTGCTTTACTTCAATTTATATCTGCTTCCTTTTCCTCTGTACAGAAATTAGTTCACCACTGTTTTACACCGACTTCAACATTGATCATAAAAATATTATTGGCCATTCATTTCTGAAGGAAACAGTTCATAATATTCACAATAACATTAAGAAATTCAACTTCTCTCACAATAATTCCACAACAAATTTCACAAACAGCTTCCATCGTCCCATATAAACCCCAATCACAAGGCAGAATAATCTATATAAACATATATCAAGACCAAAAGAACTCATTGTCTATTTACAGGCCAAACATCACTAATAACCCACCAAATTTTAAAACGTTCGATCATTCAAAAGGATTTAATTAGAAATTAGAAATAGTTTTAGAACATCTCAAATCCATCAAAATATAACCATTCTAAATTTCCAATGAAAAAAGTTGACATGAAATCTTCACATGAAAAAATTATTTTTTTATTCTATCCATAAACAGACAAAGGGACACTACCAAGCAAAAAAAAGAATAAATGTGAAACCACTGTTCTGCAGCAATTTTTACACAAACAACTAGGCAATAAAGGAAGCTTCTGGCCATTTTCATCATAACCCAGATCCAGATTTGAAACTATTATCGATAAAGCTGAAATAGAAAGGATTAATCTGCCAATTCTCCTGGCATCTAGCTTCATTCCTAAGCTTGCGTATGTTGAACCACTATATGAGTAACAAAAGGAGGAAACTTCAAGTATCCAATCAAATAGAACATGAGAATAAAACCAACTGTAGCATTTTTATTTTATTTTTTTGCAAACATGCAATAAGAAAATTGCAACCTCCTTGTTACAGAAACATTATTGATTTAAATTTATAAGATTCTGAAGCATGATGAGCAAAGGTTGAAATTTCTCATGAAACAAGGTGAAACTCACAATCTGGATTGCATGCCTCCTGCAACAACAATGGTTTCTCCTGTGATATATGAGGAGTCATCAGATGCCAAGAAAGCAGCAGCGGTGGCCATATCTTCTGCCTTGCCCAACCTTTTCAGCAGCGTTTTCTCTTCAAGGCCTTTTTTCTGTGCCAAAAATACATAAACGTTGACCAATACAAAGAAAGGAGAAAAAACTATTAACATTTTTTGGTCACAAAAATGTAGAAAAGTAGGCACGAAATAAGGAGAAATCTAGTGAAAAGCAAAAAAAAGTACAAACTACAGAAAAGAGTCAAAAGAAATAATTGAAATGCATTATGAATAGTTAATGGCAAGTAGTAAACTTCGATGAATCGAGTATCTGTATTTATAAGAAAGAAATTTATCACCATCAATAGCCTTATCCTAACTATTCCTAACTATTTGACGTCAAAGTAGGAAAAGAAAAAAGCTGAATAGCTAACTATGGAAGTGTCATGCAAGCCATGTGATCCAAATACTTGCCAATGCTTCGTCTCTTATAAGGAAATCTGAGAAGTTTGTTGGCACGAATCCTGGAGCTATGCAGTTTACCCTTGTATCTGGACTCATCTCAGAAGCCAGGGCCTGCATATATTAAGGAACATTAGGCAAATGCCATATGCCAATATGTGTAGATCCACAGAAAAAACTTTCAAGGCCTAAAGTAGCTCCAGAGTATCATTAATTTCATTAATACTTGATAAAAAATAAAATTAGCTTCCCGGCTAATAAATGCCAAAAAATAACAAAGAAATATCATATGATCTTCAAATGTTTAAGCAAACAATTAATAAAAGCCTGCCCTCCTAATCATTTTGGGTGTATATGAGAATTATTGATCTAAAAATTGATGCCCAATCATTGACTTGAATCCAAATTATGTGAGGCTCGCTAGGTTGTTTGTAGTTAGAGAAAAGTCACCCTTTTGTTTTGTTTTTTTGAGAAGTGATAAATTTATTAGATTCCATTATTTCAATGGATGTCATTCAAAACCAATACTGGTTTTAAACTAAAAAATGCCTTTGAAATCTTTCAAAATATAATCCTTTTATATCCCCACAAGTGAAAAAAAAAAATTTATTCTCCCAAGAAGAAAAGCATATTTCCTAATTGAAAACCAGTGACACTAAAGAAAATTCAAATTGGACATAAAATTTAAGAGTAAGCAGAAAGTGATAAAAAATTATTCAAATTAATAATTTAGTACGCTTACCACAAACCTGATTGTAAAAGTAGGTGCCTAATTGTATTAAACAGTTTCAAAAAGTGAGGATTAAATGTAAATTCCATACTGTTTTGATGTCAGAAAAGTTAAGAACTCAGATTAATGATTATATGCAGGAGGCAAATACGAAAGGGACCTACTAGTAATTTAAACAAGAAAAGGGATTTTCTGGAATACGATTTTGATGAGGGTATAGACTTTCTCACTCAGCAAATCAGAGGCCAAGCCAGTCAAGATAATGACATTACTGTAGAAGAAAACGGCATTTTTGTTAGAAGTTCAAACAATAGGAATTTTTTCTGGAATTCTAATAGTTAACTTACTATTTCAGCAAATGTTCTCATGCCATGTTAGTAATTATGATGTGAACACTATTCTTACAAGAGGAATACATATAGTGAATTACATATCCAAATGATAGGTGTCTTACTCATCTCAGATATTCAAGCCTAAATGACACGTCGTCCTTAATAATAAATGTGATTGTTTCTTTTTTTCATGCAAAAAAAGAAAATAAAATAAAATAAAATAACACAATTTTCTAAAACATGTTACAACAATCAACCAAATGAACCATAAAGAAGGTTAAAAAATATTGAATCAACCATATTTGGATGGAAGATGATTAGAGTAAGAACAAGCTTCATTTTCAATAGGTTAGCCAAATGGATCTTTCTCGTATAGTTGTCAAGAGACGACCTGATAGTTTAGTAAGCCAAAAACTGCGGTCAGATGATATTAACATTTCATTTACTTTCCAATGAATTTCATAACTTCCAATTTATAAAAGAACCATTAAAAAACCACAAAATACATTACATAGAAATCAAATCATCGAAAATTAATACCATAGTCTATAAGTAAAACATCTGAAACCAATACACAATAGTAACACTACTCAAAAGTAAACAGTATAATAACTACAACCACAACACAACATAATAACTATGAGTAGTAGTCCTTCAGTAAACAAAATCTCTCATGCAGACATAATAAATCAATAACTTTTCCTAAAAGAAACAATTAAATTTAAAAGTAAATTTTCTACCACTTAGTGAACAATTACAGTCTTATTATGCATTAAATTAATATGAAAATATTATGGATGAATGTCCCAAGAAAACGCAATTTATTGATAAATCATGTTGTAAACTTTCATTTTTAATTTAACCATTCTTGTTCAAAATTTTTAACCTCTTTAAGAACTCATATCAGAACTAAAATCATACAGGAAAGTATTCTAAAAATTATATTCGTAAGTACCTTCAAAATTTTACCCCTGAAAATACACTTTTATAATTTTTATTTCTTTTTTCGTGCACAGATATATCATATCCCCTGCCAGTACCATCTAAGGGCAATCCTAAATGACTTGTGTCTTTACACTTCATTCCTTTTAAATTAATTCCATTTAAAGATATTGAATAATCATTTTCCCTTTTTCCATTTCATTTCATTCATTTTAATGTACCTTGTTGATGAGAAACCACACAAGATATACCTTCATAATCTTTCTTTCTACTCACTAACGAGCATGTTGACATTTGTAATTTTTTGAAATTTGGCAAGTTACTTATCAATCCTTGGGCGGATTCTTTGTTTTTTCTCTTAAAAAGTTGTAGACTCAACCAATAATGCCAAGTCAAATAGACTTCAAAATTCGCATCCTAAACACACCAACAACGCAAATCTAATAGAATTTAACACAAGTATCCTAATAAAACCCCCTAAATGGTGCTCGAGTTTAGGATTGTGCATTGATCTATTGAAAATGGACAAATTATAGATCAACCTCCCCCTAATGTCTTGAGGTATCAAAAAATAAGTCCTCTCAAATATGCACAATTATTTTTTTGATGACCTTAGTCAGTCATTAATTTAAGGATGGAAGTAAATGTTTCTCTTTAGAGTTAGAATTCAACATACGCCAAAGTGATTTCCAAAATCTACTAAATAGAAGCTTTTATCTTATAGCTAATTGAGCTCGGGTGTTTGAAGTGTAGAAAAAATGTTTTAAAAAAAGTGATTTCCAAAAGACATCAATTGCAAACGGGAAGAATGAGAAGTCTCTCTCTCGCTCTCGCTCTCTCGCTCTCTCGCTCTCTCTCTCTATCTCACACACACACTCTCAGTTTAGTATTCTCCCCTGTGAAATCAAAGATCATAAAGAAGATTCTTCTCCTATACATACCACTATATCTATTTTTAGGTTATAAAAGGTAGGAAAATTTGTCATAAGAAATTATAACATGGTCGTAAAAATTTTTCAATCACATGCAGTGCTAACAATGCTCATTCGAACAATTAGAGCTAGGCTATCATTCAAAAAAAACACAATAATCTATTTTATAAGAGGACTTCACAATTCTCAGCAAAAGTGCTCTTTCAAAAACATTGATTCCCTTAGAACTCCACTAATTCCTTAGCATTGTAATCTAGCATCAAAGGGATAATACGTTTTAGATTCTCCATTCTCACTGCTAAGCGCATATCAACATAAGAGACTGGTTACATCTAACATGCATTGTCTATGACCTTTTTGAGGATCTAGAATGGTCAATACTAACAGGCTTAATTTACGTGCTACCCCTTTAATTTACCTTGTTGATGAGAATCCACACAAGATATACCTTTATAAACATCATTTCTACTCACTAACAATCATGTTGACGCTTGTAATTTTTTTGAAATTTGATGAGTTACTTCTCAACTTTTTTGCGGATTCCTTAATTTTTTCCCTAAAAGTGTTGTCGACTCAACCAAAAACGCCAAGTCAAATAAACTTTAAACTAATTATCCTAAATATACCAAGAAAGCAAATCAAATAGAATTAGTGGACTATGCATGGATTAATTATAGGTCAAGCTCTCTCCTTATGTCTTGTGGAATCAAAAAGTAAGTCCTCTCAAAAAATGCGATACTTTATTGATGACCTTAGTTTGTCATCAATTTAAGGATGGAAGAAAATGCTTCTATGTAGACTTGCATTCATCATAAACCAAAGTGAGGAATCCAATAGAAATAGGAAAATATTTGGTCAATCCTCCTACAGTTCGAACACAAGTAACAGCTCTAATGACTTGAATATAAGTCATATCAACACATTTCTTCTCAAGAACTCTCTAAAGGATATCTCTTGGAACCTTATCATAAGCTTTTTCTAAATAATAAAAATCAAATGTAGATTCTCCTTATTATCTCTGAACTTCTCCATCAAACCTCTCAATAAATGTATAGCTTCCATAGTAGTCCTGCCTGACATAAATCCAAATTGATTATGAGAAATCTTAGTAATACGTCTTAACCTATGTTCAATTACCCTCTCCCATAATTTTAAAGTATGACACATCAACTCAATTCCTCTATAATTTGCATACTCTTGTGCATCTCATTTATTCTTAAAAATTGGGACCAAAATACTCTTTCTCCACTCCTCAGGCATCTTTTTAGTTTTTAAAATAATATTAAAGCATTTAGTAAGCCAAATCTCCTAAAAATTTCCATACTTCAAATGGGATATCATCAGGTCCTACAAACTTTCCACCCTTTGTTTTCTTTAAAGTCTCCTCAACTTCTTTTTTTCTAATGCGACGGTAAAAATAAAACGTTTTTTTATTATTAACAATATTAAAATCACTAAGGTCGATTATATTTTTAGAAACTTCATTAAAAAGTTTATTAAAATAACTCACTCATATTTTAATATCTTTTTCTAAGAAAAACACTTTTTTATTTTCATTTTTAATACACTTTACTTAAGTTAAATCTTTATTTTTCTTATCTCTTTATTTGAATAGCTTATACATATATTTTTCACCCTCCTTAGTATCTAATCTATTATAAAGATCATTAAAATAAGAATTTTTAACGTCACAGATTGTTCTTTTAGACTCCCTGCGGGCCGTTTGATATTTTTTCCAGTTCTCTAAGCTTTTATATTTAAACCAATTTTTATAAAATAACTTCTTATATTTTATCTTTTCCTGCACATTATTATTCCACCACCAACTATTTTTATTTAAAGAATTTTTTTTTATTCTCCAAGTACATCTTTTGCTACTTGTTTAATAGTGTTTGTTACTATATCCCACAAAGCATTTGCCTCATCATGAACATCCCAAATTTTTAAAACTTTAATTTTACTCATAAAAATAATTTTATTTATGTATTTTAGGTTCCCTCATCTAATTCTACGATGATAAGTCCTAATATTTTTTATTTTACAACTCTTCCTCTTTAAATCTAGAACTAATAAATGATGTTGGGTACTTAAATCCTCACTTGGAATGGCCTTACAATCTTTACAATCTCAACGACCTCTTTTTCTCATAAGAAAATAATTAATTTGTGTTTTATTAGATTCATTCTTATAAGTAATAAGATGCTCACCTCTTTTCTTGAATAAAGTATTAGTAATAACAAAATCATACGCTAAAGAAAAATCTAAAATAGCTGTACCTTTTATATTAGTCACTCCAAAATCGTAGCCACCATGAATATTTCTGAAATCTTCAACCACTCTACTGACATGTCCATTTAAATATCCTTTAATAAAAATTCATTCTTCAAGAGATATCATTTGTATTAAGTCTTCTAAGTTATTCCAGAAATTCCAGAATTTATCTTTAGACCCTATATCTAAATCTACTTGAAAAGCATAAGCACTTATAATATTAAAAATCTTACTATCAATGATAATCTTAAGGGCTATAATTTTATCTCCAACTCTATTAATTTTTATAACATTACCTTTCAAACACTTATCTATAATTACACCTATATCATTTCTAGTGCGACTCTTACCGGAATACCAAAGCTTAAAACCTAAGTTATCAATCTCCTTAGTCTTTTCTCCAACCCATTTAGTTTCCTGAATACATAAGATATTAATCTTTCTATGGATCATAATATCAACTAATTTCATTAATTTACCATTGAGAATACCTATATTCCAAGATCCTATCAATAAAATATTGAAGACAAAATATTACACGAAGTGCAAAGAGATGTAGAAGCTTTCTGAGACTTTATTTCCATTGCACCTCTTCTTGCTTGTGCATCAAGTAAAAAGGCTGCAACGATAAAAAGATAGGATGATAGACATTCAAAGTAGATTTCATTTGCTAGAGAAAGGCATCAAAACTCCAGTGGAGCTAGGTATTCTAAAGGTTTGTATAAAAGAAAAAATTACAGAAAATAAATCTATTAAAATTTGAATTTCTTTCTAAATGTACTCATATAATCCACATAGTAACCATCATCGATACATGCAGTGGATAATTAGAGATTCTTAAAGATAGATTATGATTTATGTCCTGACGTTCATTAGTACTTTGTATCCATGGAATAGTAAGATAATCACACGAAGTGCAAAGAGAACCTTTGTTAACCCAAAAAGAGCCGTCTTTGTAACCCCATACATGGCAAGCCCCTGTTCTGGATTGTATCCAGAAATAGAAGATATTAAGATGATGGAAGATCCCTTGTTCAGGTAGGATGCAACAGCCTGTCACATAAGTGAGAGTGAGCATTGTAAGTGAATCATAATCATAAATAACATAAAAATCCTATCAGCTACCTACCTGTAGGAGTAAAACACTGGCTTTCACATTGATCTCCCAAAGCTTGTCAAGAACAGCCTCTTTGGTATCCAAAATATTATCAACAGTTGGATTAGCAGCAGCATTGGACACAACAATATCAATATTTCCATACCTCTGCAGTGTGGATGCGATTAATTACTCATAAAAAGACTTCAGAATTTGAATTCATAACAAATTGTCAAAGGTACTAAATGAAGGGATATAAATCGAGAAACAAGAAAAAAAGAGTAAATTTTCAGAATCTCGGGAAGAGAGTGCTAGATTTTTTTCTTATATCGGATGTACAAAGGTAACATAGAAAAAAAGTAGCCAGAAAGCTTGCTTTATTCATTCGCCAAAATTGCCTAAAAAATAATTAACTTTTGTGGACTATAAGGATTAAAAATTTAAAGCTATTGTTCAAAACTTTCTATCTTATCGTTCAAAACTTTCAATCTTGGCTCATGGCTCATGTAAGCAATCCATGGCACTCCCCATTCTATGTTAAACACAAATCCATGGCAAATATTTCTCTTTATTTAGTATATGAATCCGTGATATCTTTCATTTTTAACGATTCCAAAACTTTTAATGCTCCCCTCAACTTAGAGGGTAAAAATTTACTATTCCAAATTTGCTTAAGATATTTTTGTAAGGAGAGTTGCAAAATTCTTTATGGGCCATTTGATTTGCTAAAAATGAAATATAATGTAAAAGATTTGCAGAGTACTATGATTATAATATATTTAAAATACTTTCAAGTTATTTGGTTCACTGTAAAATAAATAAAAGACTTCGTATTTTTTGTTTGGTTGGAAGATGATAGAAAATAATGTGCTTCAAAAAATATTTTTTGTCTGGCTGCGACGGAGGGGGTGGCAGGAGGACTGGAAGGCGGGCGGAGGGCAGCGGTCGGCGGTCGAAGGGTGGGAAGCAAGCGGCGGGCGGCAGGAGATGGGCGGCGGGCGGCGGGAGACGGGCGGCGGGCGGCAGGAGACAGCGGGCAGCAGTGAGGGGGAAGCATGGGGGCGTCGGGAGGCACCAAGCAGTAGGTGGCCAGCGGTCGCTGGCTGCTATTACGGCGGCGTGGTGCTACGACTTACCTATAATATTTTACATGAATGGTATAATTCAAATTTGGTCAAATTGACCGAATTCTAAATTCAATCAAATTTAACTACAATATAAACTTCAAATTCAATCAAACTTTACGTTCCATTTGTAGTTCTTCATACCAAAAACATAATTTCCTCAAATGTCGAAAGAGACGGGGATATCCATTTCATATGAAAAAGGATCCTTTCTTATTTCATTTGACATGTACATGAGTTTTCTTTTAAAAAGAGAAATGAAAATTTTCTTTGCCCATCCTGTTTATGTCTCGAATTGGAATAAATAACTGCAATTCGCTCCCGCCTACGAATCAAGCAACATTTTTACAAATTTTACGAACAGATGTTTATCTTCATATTTATCATTCCTTACTTTCTTCTGGAATCTTCATATTTATCATTCCTTACTTTCATTTGGAATCTATTTTTTGTGAAAACAAAAATCAATTTATTGCATTTCTTAACTTTGAATTTTATCTCGACGAAAAGGATGAAGTGCAAATTAACTCAAATTTTAATTTCATTTTTATTTTATGAAATATCTGTCAACCTCCATGTGTTTGGTTTGATCATAATATATTGGATTATGAGCAATATTTATGACAGATGTTTTATCGCAATATATCCTACAAAATTCTTTACATTTAACTTTAATTTTTTAGTATAATTTTAATCCAATGGAGTTCACAAATAACTTGAGTAGTTATGCTAAATTCAAATACATGAGCTGACCAGAAAACAATAGATTGTTTTTGTCTTATCCATATTATTTTATTTCCTCCCAATAGCGTGCAATATTCTGAAATGGTCTCTTGTCCACTAGTGATCCTGGAGAATCAAGATCAATATAAACTTCAAATTTTAAGTTTCATATTCTCTATAGAAAATCGTTTCTCCAAGATTTGATTTTAGATATGAGCTTGAAGCTTATTCGTTGGTGTCAGGACGGATGTAAGATACATAAATTAGTTTCCCAACTAATCTTTAATATTGTCCAATATGAACTTTACTTTAATGGTCATCTAAGTCAAAATTTTGTCATCATTCAGTTAGAGTTGTATAAGACTTACAAATAATCAATTTTGTTTCTCTCAAAAAATTTAAAACAAATTTTTGTAAGAGAAAAAATTCATTTTTTAACTAAGCCACTTTAAACCCATAATTTACTTGAGTTAGCCAAGTTATTGGATTTCAATGTCTGCTCAGTTTTTTTTTATTTTTATTTTTTAACTTTTTTAGTAGTTCATTTCCTTTATTGTCATTCCTAATAACAATATCACAAACATGCACAATAAAAATTAATTTTTTTATCAGTGGAACTTTTTAGAAAGAACATATGATCTAATTGGTTCTGTTTATATATCATTTCATACATGTCGTTTATAAATCTATTAAATCACACTATTGGAATTATTTAAGACCGCATAATCTTTATTTTAATATTCACATCTTATGTTATATAAAAAAAATTGTTGAATTGTAGTGGATGATCCATATAGACTTCATTTCAAATAAAAAACAAATTCTCATAACATATTATTGCATGGATCATCTAAGGTCAGTAGGAAGAGAATTTTTTTTGTAGGCGGAGAAAATAGCATATACAAGTTCTATTATTTTAGCAACAAGAGTATAGATTTTTTTACAGCTTATTTCATAAAATTACATATAGGCTTTTTTTCATTAACCTTACTTTATATCGTTGTAATCTTTCATCTGGTTTACATTATGATGAGAAAAACCATTTGCATCTTATTATTATTATTATTTTAATAGCTCAATGATCTCGCAACCCATGTATGGTTTTTTTTTTCTTTTTCAAGGTAATCATCTATTCTCTCATAGTATCATTCTAATTCTTATTTTCTAGTTTCTCAAATAAGGTTTGTAATATTTTGATAGTTATAGGTTTTTTTTTTTTTTTTGATAGTGTTATAGTTAATATTTATAAAGAAGGGTTTATGTGTGTGAGACAATTTTAAAAAAAAATTGTTTACTAGGCTACGAGGCATAAAGGAGAATATGTGATAATAAATTGATCATTATTATGAGCAGCTGACAATGCCTCTAAATGTTGAGCATGCTTTGAATAGGCTTTATCTTTCTTATATAGACCATAAGATGTTTGATAAAATATCATTCTTATGTTTGTCTGGCTAGAATGTCAATAAAGAAGATATTATATTCATTAAACATTTCCTCCAATTAGTTGTTCTGCCCCAAAAGACAATGATATTGGAATTAACCAAAAAAATAATAGGAAAAAATAAATATTCTTACTATAGGGATGGCAGACGGCTCTGCGGGACCGGCTATTTTTGTAATCCAATTTACCTTTTCAGTTCTAAGATGTCATGATAAAATTGACTAGAGATATATGTACAAATATATAATATGTTGATAAATGACTAAAGAGTCATATTTAAAGATATATGATTAAACCTGAAATAGTTGCACATGAAGATTTTAGAATAAAATTGTGTCGATAACAATTAAAATACAAATGATCATGAATATCATAATACTAAAAATCATATTGAAATTGGTAACATTTTTCAATTATAAAATGTAGTATTACTCTAGCTTGGCAACTATTATCAGTAAATCAGCTTCTTTTATTTTTCATAGTGTATGCATCAATGTATTTTGTATTAAATATAATTAATAAACAAGAGTTATTAAGTTTAGTCATCAAACTCATTTTTGTATTTTTTTCTTTTCATAATACATTCCACTAAGGTGTTTGGTTGATCAACTTGTCATTCATACAATTTTATTTCATTTGTTTTTTATTCTATACAATAATTCTACTTGTTTTCCATAGCAGGTTTGGGTAGATTTGATTATGCTATTTCTTTCAGTCTCCATTCTATTTGTTGTTTTTTATGCTTATTTGATGCGAGCTTATCAAAGACTCTATTAATGAAATTAAATATTATTTATCTTTTGTTGCTTAATATTATTCTCACTATTTATAATTATTTGTATAGAAATTTTCTCTTGTGGATACAACAAAAATTTTTATTTGATCTTAGCACTTGAAACTCAGTACAAAAGTTGAAGTCATTCCCTTCATCACATCCCACCTTACTAGGGTCAATGGGGCGTAAAGTTTTTCGTACCTAGGGTGTGAAATGTAAGACTTGAATTAGAAAGAATTGATAAAACAAAAAAACTAAATAAAGAAACAATCAGAGATGCCGCACATTGTTCTTTTTATTAATCATCATTTTGCAGTCTTGTTTCCCAACTTCCAAAAGGTTCTGATATGCCATTGAACTCAATACAAACTCCTTTTTTTCTTCTAAACTACATACCAAAGGATCTCCAAAATTCCTAACCAGAATCACTCCTTTCAGTAGAAAATTAGGAATCCAAAATTAAAAATAAACCTATGGGTAGAATTGGCAATCAGTTTATGAAAGATCTCATATTGAGACTATATCCAAATTATAATAATTCAATCGTATGCGTCTAAATCCCCCTAAAAATCCATTTTGTTCTTTTCTGCTGCTTCATAAACTAAGGACCTGTTTGGTATCCTATTTTAGGCAGGATTCAAGCAAGATACAGTCTAAATCATGCCAAACAATTTTTGAAAATTTTATCTCTCTTCTCATAAACCCCGTCTCGAGGTTTGCTAAATGTCATCATTGCTTCAAAAATTTCTCACAATAAAAAAATTTAAATCCTGAAACAAATAGCCATACAGCGTGTCAAAAAAGAATTAACAATTATCATGCTAAAACAGGACACTCAAGATTTAAGGGATTAATAGTCGACAATCTGCAATTAGAAGAGAGGGATTTAACCTCGATGGTCTTATCTATGAGTTCCTTCCTCTGCTGCGGATTCGAGACATGGCATACGACACCCATAACCTCAAGTCCCTTGGACCGCAGCTTCTCCACCGCAGCATCAACATTTTTCTGCAATTCCCCCTAACAGTCAACACACAAACCTAGTACAAATCCACACCCACACATGCACAGCGAAAGAGAGAGAAAGGGAGAGAGAGAGAGAGAGAGAGAGAGAGAGAGAGAGAGAGAGACCTGCCGGCGAGAGGAGATGACGACTGAGGCTCCCTCGAGAGCAAAACGCTCAGCGATGGCGAAGCCGATTCCTTGTGTTGAAGCTGTAACAATCGCGACTTTCCCTTGTAATCTCTTCATCTCCTCCTTCCCCGTCTGGCGGAATCAACAGGAATTAAGAAAGTCTAAGGGGCCGTTTGGTAGCCGGTTAAGCAGGACTTTGTACAGGATTTATGTTAAATCCTTCCAAAGGGGCAAAAACACCATGGTAAATCCTACGGATTTTTAAATCCTATACAGTCAAACTCATGCTCGGCAACGACTCGTTCGCTGTTTAAAGATCACAACTTTCATCTTTTCCCTGCGTTAAAAAGACATTATATTAGCATATTTAAATATAATTTCTTTTATGAAGAAGAAAATAAAAAAGATATAATTTATAATAAGATGCTTACGATAGATATATGATATCAAAGGTCAGTCAACTCATTCAAGTACTTATTTAAGTGGACCATCTGAAAACTTTTATTTTTACAGAATGATTAAGGTTAGCCTTTTATGTTGTATATGATAATACATAAAAATAGTAACCCATTTAATTATAGTAAATAGTGGTTTAATTTTTCATAACATAATAATAATATAAATATTATCATAGGCATCTCATGTGTAATGAAACTGTTGGAGCTATAAGAATTCTTGGTGATGGTCTCTTTCATTTAGGTAGGGTAACAAACTTGATTGTTTACTTCTAGTTCTCAATAATCCAATTTAGAAAAGGCATTGAGTTTTTTAGTCAATTTCTTCTTTTGGGGCTTTACTATGATCTCCATTGAGGTTCCAAGTCAAACTCTTCATTGTAATGTTCTTATAAGCATCTTCCATCATAGAAATTTACTTGGTGCTAAGAAGAAGAAGTGAATTAAATTTTAGGAGAGAGAGAGAGAGAAGTTTTAAACTAAAAACTAGATAATTAATTTTTCAATAAAGTATGAATAATCTAAACTTTTCTTAAAGCACTATTAAAGCATTGTGTTGAAAATAAGTGGAATATGAGCATATGTATTGAAATAATGGTGAAAGCATTATCAAGACTCTTTTAACTAATGTAGCACAAGGATTTAAAGGAAGAAAAAAATTAACATCAAGAGCCTAGAGCAAGAAGCAGGTTGCTAACAAATAGGAGCCTAGAATAAAAGTAGAGTTGAGGACTTTTAATTAGTGTTCATATGTTTATAAGTTATGCAATTTTTGTATAAGAGAATGTATTGTACTTTTTATATTGTGGACGTGATTTGGAAGGATCGCATGAAGGAAATATTTAATCAAGTTCAAATTAAAATATTGGTTGCAAAAAAAAAATGATTCTCTACTACCATGTCAACCTTTTCTTTAAACAGGTAGGTAGAAATTTTTATGAAAGGTGCTCAAGTAGCCCTTACACATCTTCATATAGTCGGTCTTTATTTTTCCCACTCATTTATTTATTTTAAAATATTTTTGTTGTGGAACCATTTAAAGATTCTATGTTGGAGAAAGAAAAAAATTGAGGATGTGTGGCAAAGAAATTGAGTTTTTATCTTAAAAGGAAATCTTGGTGGCCAGACTCAACCTTTCAAAGGAGTTTGGGGACTTTTTCTTGCCTACTACCCTAGTATGTAGCATGAATCATAGATTGTTTTTTAAATCCTATTTCTTTTTTGATGTGATAAACTACATCATATTTTCTTAATACTTCTATAATAATTATTTAGCATTTTACACCCTAAAACTGTGATAAATCTTTCAAAAACCCTCTTAGTCATAGGTTGGTTCTATTAGACCTGAATTTGTTCAAAAACTTATTGAACCACCAATAAACACTTAGAAAATTATGAAATGATTTTTAACTATACTAGACACATTAATTTAACCATAATATAACTTTTGAACCTTCATAATGTGCTAAATTTTCTTCACTAAATTTCATACTTAATTAAATTTTTTTATCCTAAGCACCCTCCCATCATTGGCTAGCTCTTATTATTTGAAAAATCTTATAACAGACCCATCAATATATCTAAAGATTCTAAAATATTCTTAAGACAATATAGAATCTCCAATAGCATAATTGAACTACCATTCAATGATAGTTCTAGGTCCAGACCAAGTTGAAGTCTTTGTTGACCTCAGTTTTTGTCAACATTTTTTTCTTGGTTTAAGCTTACTGAAATTCACTTGAGCTGGTCTTGAGCAAATACTAATTTAATAAAATTTAAGTTTTTAACTTAAGAAATTAAAAATGAATCAAAATAATCTTTAAACATAATTAATTTTGACCAAACTGAGAGATAACCCAAAAAATAATTTTAATCACCAAAACTCTCGGATTATTGTTTTCTCTCTCAAGATAAATATAGAATCAAGTCTTCATTTTGAAAGTTGCATGAGACTTGTTATTACTAATAATCATTTAAATGATTTTAAGGATTGTTTGAAATAGGATTTACATGCAAAACTCTTCAAGTCAAATTTTTATGCTTGACAATTATCATCAAAAATCCTAAAATTATCTTTTCCTTCCGCTGGTCAATCCAGTGATCCAAACTGCATTATGTAAGTTACATGATCTTCATAATAACATAAGAAAATCATTCAAACCTATCTAGTGGTCATGTGAAACCATTTTTTTGTAAAATTATGCACTTAGGGATCACATGCATGATAAATGGTTCCATATAAAACTTTTTCAAGTCTTTACTTTTTAAAACAGACTTGACCATTGCAACTGTATCTTTCAAACCTTTCAAATAATCCCCTCCATACTTAAATTCAACTTCATTTGGAAGCCTTTTGAGCTGACAATAATTAGTAGGGAGAAAAATAATAATTTGATCATAACCACCAAAAAATGACTTCAAGTCAACCTGGAACTTTAATTAAAGTTGTTCTAAATTTTAAAAAGAAACCTAATTTGAACCAATAAAATCAAATAATTTTTTTCTAAAAATTCACTTTTTTCTCTCTCCTAAGGGTTTTAGACTACTTTGACTGATCATATCTTGTTGTAGAACTTAAATTAGCCAACACTTCTACCCTTAAACTCATTGTATTTATCTCTATTAAATGAGCCCAAGTTAATTTTTTGTCATGACCAACTTCTGACCACCTTGTAACCATGATCTCTCCAACCACTTAGCAACTTCTCAATTGATCATATCTTAAGCTAGACAACTCCATTTTCAAAATGGCTTGAACTATTAGATACCTTATCTTATTCTCTTAAAAATGAAACATACTTGTATTTCTCTTAACTACCATAACTACCTTTGCCGTATTACTAAAATGACCATCTCCTTTTCAAAATTTGCAATCCTACCCTATTAATGCTCACCCTCCATTCCTTACCCATCCAACAACTCTTTATTTTCCACCTCATTAATCCATATATTGCTTTTCGATTCATCCACCTTATAAAGCCATGACCCCTCCCTCCTCTCTCTCCTTGTCCTCACATTATTTTATGCTCTTCAATTTAAAGAGCTAACCCACTGCTTGATCTTAGCCATCCATGTGATCATAACTCCCTTGCCCCCAAAACACTTCCATTATCTCTTCAAAAACTATGACTCCAACCCTCTTCAAATGCAAAAAATGAAACCCTCTCATCTCTCTCTCTCTCTCTCTCTCTCTCTGTGTGTTTTGCCTTCTCTACCCACCAAATTGAGAGCTTTTCCCTCATTTTTCACCAACCCATGGAAATTGAAGCAGCCTTAACTTAAGTCCAGGTGCACTTGTACTCGAGAGCATTACACAAGGAGCGATGTGTTTAAGTTTTAGGACATTTTTAGTCCAGGTACATATCGCTTTTGCAATATAGGACATTTTTAGTCCAGGTTATCGAACCCACGAGAAGCGATGTGTTTAAGTTTTAGGAAAAGTTCTATCCTACTAAATTTATTCTTAGCTTGGAAGTTAAATTGGTTTAAAGTGTTCTAACTAGTCCTGTTGAATTTCAAACTACTCTTAAATGTTTACTCCTACTGAAATCATACTTAATTTATTTGAATTAGTAATAATTAGGTTATAAAATTACCTTCCCTTGCAATGATCTAAGTGGAGCGAAGGAAATGAAAAATTGCAAATTGTGAATGACGCTAGTGACAAATGGGAGCAACTCTCTTCTTTACCCTCTTCCGAGTGCATAAGAAGGTTTGGTTAAATTGTTTTTAATTCCTTAAACCCCAATTTGAACTCATAAAAGAATATTTTCCTAACATTTGCATCTCTCTATAGTGTACTTAGTTCACACCCTATAGTCAGCGTGACTAACCTTGTTGCTGCTCTTTTATAACTCTTCCGAGTTATTATGGTTCACAACACATTTTAACATATCACTTGGCTAGAATGAAAAGTAAATGAAGACTTGAAAGTTACTCATCAAATTAAATATTTAAAAATAATTTTAAAAGCATTCCTTCATTCCTACACTTCCTACTTAATCATCACAAGAAAAAGGTAAAAAAATTACCAAAAAAACCATTGAGAAAACACCATAAAGCATCTTTGAAAACAAGTAAATCCACTATAGAGTTGTATTTATAGAAATACAAATACCAGTGTACATAATACTTAGCTTAATCTATTTGCAAAGTGTTGAGGATTCTTCTCCCAAGGATCTTTCAAATCCCTTTGCTACTTTTTTTAACACACCCTTAGAATTTAGCTCTAATTCCTCACCAATGCTCTCCTAATCTATCCTTCTCCAAAGGACTGACCACCAACTTGAAAAAGCAAATAAAAGCACTGAAAAGAACCCCTCCTTCTCCACTAATGAAACTCTTTATCATGTTAAATAAATACCTACATCGTGTAGAAGAACTATTGAAAACTATCCAGGCAGTTTCTGGTTCCTTGGCGTCGGGCTCTCTGTCTGCCAGTTTTGGTAGGGCCACCTAGGCGAATAAGTTTTGAGTGATTGTAAAATAGAAGAGATTTAAAGGAACTTCAAAAGTTTGGTGTAGGACTTGAGATGAGTTTTTATCTTTTTGTTTTAGACTACTTTTGGTTTTAATCGAGACTTGTTTTTATTTTAGACTACTTTTGTTCTTCTTTTAAGCTAAAGTGTGGTTTTGTTTTCTCCATAGATTCTGAGTAGTTTTCTTTATCTTTCTTCTTAAAATGATAAGTAATTAAATTTTGGATGGAAGTTATGGAGAGTATTGATCTTTATTGTTGGAAGAAGTTGTGATGATTTAAATCCATGCACTTCATTTACTTCTTGATTTGGTTAATCCAGATGTTACAATTTGTTGTGAGAACATGAAATAA